AAAGTTTAGTATTCATTTTTTTCCCTCTATCCAAAGAAACTGTTCTGAATAAAGTTACTCAATATAGTTGGAAAAACTTTCATTGGATCCACTTCTTTGTTTATCAGAATTCTGTGTTATCTTCTATTTGAACAGCAAAAATACTCTTGCAAAACAAAATTGTTATTTAGGACCATAGTTGATTAACTTTCTGATTGTTGAAGGGAGATTGGTCAACATGGCAGCCCTCTTATGTGGTCTTATTTTTAAGATCATGTAATAGTATAGTTGTTTTCTTAATGGTGGCTTGAAAAGGGGGTGTAGTGAGAACGCATTCTAAAAACACTCTTCGTGCTACAGGTCAGTTTACAAAAGGCAATTAGGTAGGCAATGTTATCTAAAAAACGTATGATTGTTAAAACAGACACTGTAGATCAAAGTTTACTTTTTTTTTTTTTTTTTTGCTTTGTAGGATAATCTGAGTCAAACTTGTCCAGTGAGATAATTGCCTGACAGAAACCAGTGAACTAAACCTAGCATTGATGTCTTTCATTGGAACACCTACGCGTGGAGGATCACACTATGCAACTTAGAGAAAGAACATCAAAGACTGACTTTTAAGAAACCAGAACTTACATGTAGAAATAACTATGGTCCCTTTCGAAGTCGCTGCTTTGGGAGGCATTCCACGCCGGCACTGCTGCTTTTGCTCTGAGTGCTTTTGTTGATTATTTTTTGAGAATGTCCCTGCATGACATATTATTTTTAATACTTTATATGGGAGCCAATAGTATTCTCAAAGGATAGATTTAACTTTTGGAAATATTGACAATTGTTAGGAGGCAAGTAAGGCACGTGTCAGGATGAGAGGAGTTGAGTGTGGGAGTGCTCCCACCTGGATTTGCATCCAACACTTCCGGCTACTTGTGACCAAGTCCAACAACTGGTCTGAGCCTCTATCTGATGCAGGATCACTCATTCGTTCATTCAGTCAGTCAGTCATTCAATAGAGGCTTACTGAGCATTCACTATGGGAAGTGGATAACAGAAAAGGAGGGATGAAGTGATTACCTCTGACTGTAAATTTCTGTCCTAGGTTGGTGACCAATCTTTAAAAAATCAAGCAAAAATGACAGGTTAGGCTTACACTAGCATTAAGTAATAAGGATGTATCTTGGATGGCTAGTAAATCATCTTTGATGAAACTTGCCAAAGAAAAGTTCCAAATGTTGTGAGCAACTATACTTTTACTAAGTAAAAGTTTAACATTGTTTAATTGATAAAGGTAAAGGACCAGGCTCCTCATTTCAGGTGCGTTAGTTTGGTACCTGGATCTATTTATTTACAACTCTCTCTCTCTCTCTCTCTCTCTGTCTGTCTTGCAATCCTAACCACGTATCAAAATCATCTACAGAGCCTTTGAAAAGTACAGATGATGCTATACACCAATCACCTTCTTGAATTAGAGTTTCTAGAGGAAGGTCTAGCTCATAGGCATTTAAAAAGAGCATGATGCGTGATTCTGACACACAGCCAAAGGTAAGAACCACTGGCTTATAATAACCCCTCGTACTTTCAGAAATTTCTACCTTTACCTTAGTATATTATACCTATCTCTTCTCACAGAACTTTCTTTTAAAACATATTATCTTAGCATCTTATTACAACCAAAACTAAATTCAATTAATGTATGAAAATCCAATCCAGAAAGAATTTCTCCATCTACCAAGTTGTAACATATTTTTAATTGAGCATCCATTATGTACCTAATTCTGTGTTTGTTGTTTAGGTAACTATTAAATTTAAGATCCAATTCCTATCCAGAAGGGCCAGTATTAGAAACTGGGGTAGATGTTGATAGTATCATAAAACAGGCAATCAGAATACTCAGATCTACTGCAAACCACAGCCACCCTTCCTCATGAGTTTCCTGAAGGATATAAACGGGTAGGGAATGCTGCAAGTTGCTAGCTGGACTTTGCACCCAGACACCATTGCAGATTACAGTGTGATTCTGAGCTGGATCATAAATTCTAGGCTAGACATCCATAATGAGCCTCATCACAAGTCCAGGTCATCATCTCGAATCATACTGCACTTTAGATGGCCACATGAAAGGAAGAAACTGGAGAAAAGGAACCTGTCAGCAAATGAGAGCACGAGGGGCCATAGCCTTCTAAGGAAGCAGCCCCTGACCCAGCCTGCTGCCAATGCTTATGGCGAAGACTCGAGGCGAGAAGGAGCAAGCATGCTTGCCCCGCTCCCAACCACTGTGCCAGCGGATACACTGGGATTCAGCGAGCCCTCGGAAACTTCTGAGGGGTGGCAGTCAAGGTGTGGGGTGGGAAATGGGGAATGGCTACTCCAAAGCCTGCGGATGACAATCTGGATGGGCAAAGAGGAAGGGACTCCCTCTCTGGATTTGTAAAGCACTACTCTGTATTTTTATGAATTGCACTTATTTATAACATTATGTTTTAGGGGTCTGTTTTCTGCCGTCCACTGTACTCATTTTCCTCAGTGCTAACACAATTCCTAGCACATAGTAGGTAACCAGTAATTCTTTATAAATGAATGAAATCTGTCATATAAAACAATTACAGGGCCGGCCTGGTGGCGCACTGCGCTAGTGCGCCGTTTGGGAAGCACGGCGGCGCTCCCGCCGAGGGTTCGGATCCCACATACAGACCAGTTCCCGCTCACTGGCTGAGCGAGGCGCGGGGGCAACACCGAGGGTTGCGATCCCGTTGCCGGTCCCGGTCCGGTACGGGAGCGACACTGAGGGTTGCGATCCGTTGCCGGACACGGAAAAAGACAAAAAAAAAAAAAAAAAAACAATTACAGAATACAAGGCCATATAAATAATAGTTTGTGTGTTACATAGAGTGCTCTACAAGTTCAAGATATAGTCCAATGGCGGAATAGTTAGGAAATCTTCACGGAGAAAGTGGGCTTGGGACACACTCTTGTGCAGAGTGAACTTTGTATTTACACAAGGGTGTCTGACCTGTGACCAGAGCTATGGACTGTCTTTGGACATTGGAGTGACAAATCAGCTGTCACTCAAAAGTTAGTATAAACCTGAAATACATCCTTAGACCATCACTGGTCAATGTATAGACAATTTAGTGCCGTCATTAATTTCTTCTCTACGTGAACATCTGCAAAAGAAAGGCTATAATGGAAAATTGTCAGTAAAATGGAAACTTATCTCATAGAGAGGAAGAGAGTAAAAAATACAACCTGTAGAATAACTGAAGTGAGTTTCTTTTGAAAACGAATGGTCTTTCTTTTACATCATATTGTAATGTGCTCATTAGTGGACAACAGAAAAACAGGAAGAAGAGGAAAATATCATCCATGTCCCACTGCCCCCAAGCAACCACTTTTGACATCTTGATGAGTTTTTTTTTCCTAGGTCTAGTTTCATTCTTATTAAACCTCGAGCAACTTGCTTCAATAAACATTTTATACATCCTCCCCTTTCTTCTTCTTGTTGCTTTCTCTGCTCTCTCTAAATAAGATAGACAAGAATTCATTATTTCCATTTAAAATATGAATTGTTTAGGCTTTTAAGAACAGAACTTAAAATAATGCATGCACTTTCAATAATATTGAAAAAAATTCCCCTTCCTAAAATTTGCATGATGTAGTAAAATGTTTATTGTGGACTGCTTATTGGCAAAAAATGTCATCAAGTAAAAAGAGATATTGAAGAGGTCGCTGGGGTTCATGAACTCTGGCCAGAACCTTGAGTCTTCAGTATTCAGTGTGGCTGAGAGAGGGCTGTCGTCCCAGGGGCCCCAGTACAATTGAGTGTTTAGAGTCACTTGGCCCCACATCCTCCTCCACACAGTACCTTGTCCTGATCTGATTTTACCCTACTGCCCTGGAGCAGAGGAGAAGAGAGGGGACACTAGCAAGTATAGCCTCCAAGAACTAGAACTAGGAAAGGAGTTGATGGTGTGGTGAAAAGGTGAGCTTGGTCTGAGATAATGTCCTGACTGAACCAGTAGGTCTGACCTGATACATTCCAGAGTCACCTGAGAGGTCAGTACCCACAAGGTGTGAATGACCACTCTGCTATGCCAAGCCCATGAGAAATCAGGTACCCGCACATCTCCCAACTCCAGTCTGTGTGCCTGAGATTGTGACACGCAGTGGCAGAGTAACTTTGCCCTTTGTGCCCTCTGTACCTTACACTCAGTTCTGTCCTAGCATGTGTCACACTTTATTACACTTCTCTGATTATGTGTCTGTCTCCCTCCAGGTGAAGTGAGCTCCTCGAGGGCAGAAACCCATGCTTTCATCACCAGTGCCGACCGGATTTCTTGGCAAGATTAGGCATTCAATAAATGTTTATTGACTGAACTAAAGGAAGAATGCTGTACAGGTAGCCCACGACGGAGAGGAAATACAACAAGGCAACAGTCTTCAGAAAAGGACAGCTTCCTACTACCTTAAGAGAAGGCAAGAGTGTTGAGCCCTGCTTGGGCTGTGTCCTTTGCAGGCTTTCAGAGTAGGACGTACTCATGAAGGTATATCCCAAACATACAAATGCCTAGACTGCACCCCAAACATAACTAAATCAGGCATGTGAGAAAAATATGCCTTAAATGGTCTACAGGTGCTTCTGCATTCTTGGCTAAAAACCAGTGCTTACAAGTATCTGTTAACACATCACTTAATTTTATGATTTAGGCTAATAAAAGAGCAAGAAAAGTTCCAGATATAATTAACTAGTTGAGCATGATGCTTTATTGGTACAAATACACCTAAGCTAAAAGTGGTGTAGATTACTAAATAGCACTTGGCATTTCTCCATATGCCAAACTGCAAAAGCATTGTAAATAGACACATTATAAAACATCTATCCTGCCCTAAGAGGGCTTTGTACCGTCCCACACAATTTGATATAAACATTCTGGTTATTTTAATATTTCTTTCTTTTTGGAAGTAAACTCATTGTTCACTTGTCACTTCACTTGTCATGTTTTCTTTTGCTCCTGCAGGTCTGTTATTACAGAGATGAGGGCACACCTGGGCAAGGCTGGGACTCACCTGGGTAGGTGTGTTAGTCAGGGAACCTTCCCTTTCAAGAGATAGAAGTAACTCACTTAAATCCACTGGCTTGTTTATTTATTTAAGCATTCAACAAGTATTGATTGAGTGCCTAGGTGTATGATAATTATGGTGACACATGATAAACAAGACAATCTCCTGCCTTGGGATGTTTAAGGATGAGCTTGCTTCAGGTATAATTGTTTTTTGAGGCTCAGGTAATGTCAGCAAATCTTTCTCCCACCCCCTTTTTTTCTTTCTTTTTTTCCTCTTTGCACATTGGTCTTATTCTCTCCTTTCATAAAAAAAACTCCGTTCAAGTTGTGGGAAGGAAAGCTTGCCACTGGCAGCTCCCCCTTGCAAAAGGAAGACTGTACCCCACCCTGGCATCCTTATCATATGCCTAATGGAAGGATTTTTGATTCCCCCTGCTTTGGCTTAGTCATCCATGTGCCTAACCCTTGAGCCCAGGTAGGACTGGGATCCCATGATTGCCCAGGCCAGGCTCAGGGGCCCACTGTTGTGGTCATGTGTGGACAGCAGTCTCACACACCACGTTGGGGTGAGAGAGGGGTCATTCCCCAGTGTAAAGAGGGATTTTAGGCCTCGAAAACAATGATGTCTGACATACTATGTGCGATATTTTAGAGAGTAAAACGTTTGAGTAATGTGAACGTTTTCTTGAGAAAATTTGACTAAATCTACCTTAATGTTAGATTATTAAAACATTGTTTTCGAAGTGTCACTAATTCAGTAATGTCCATGAGATAATTTGAAATCAACTGGGGAAATCAAGTGTGAATGTTCTACCTATTTTGATGTAACCTTCACAAGGCGCACAGCAGATTAGAAATGAAATGGCAGACCTTTCATGAGTGTTTGGGGTGGTGACAGCATTTGAGTGTCGGCACTTCCCTGCACCAGTGGGTAGGGTCAGAGATGGGATGGGGAATGCTCTAAAGAAATAGAAAGCAGTATAGAAGAAGGAGCGATGTATGGAAAATATAGACAAGTGGTCAGGGCTCCCTCAGATGTTTGGAATCTTGCCGAGCATTTGATGTAAATATGCATGTGCACCCAGGTGTTCCTTGTTTATTGTCTAATGTAATTGTGCATGTGCACCCAGGTGTTCCTGGGTTGTCTGTCTCACACCCAGGTGTCCTGGGTTATCAGACTTAAGCATAAAGGACTAGTGGCTCTGTTCCACAGAGCCCCTGACCCTGAGATGCCTCTAGGGGGGCACAGGGAGGCCACTACTGCTGCTGGAGGCTATTGCTGCAAGGTATTGCTGCCAGTGCCTCTGGGACCCTCCAGGAGGACACCTCTGCTGCTGAGGAAGCTGAGGACTGAGCTCATGTTGTCTGTCAATGGCTCCCGGGATCTTTCCCAATTACCTAGTGTGGACCTGCATGTGAGGGGTCTGGTAACCCAGCCAGGCATGTGAGGGGTCTGATGACCCAGCCAGACATGTGAGGGGTCTGGTGACCCAGTCTGGCACATGAGGGGTCTGTGACCCAGTCTGTACAATGGATTTGAAGGGTGTGAGCCCTAACCTGACAATACAATTGGCTATGTCAGCAGGGTTCTGACAATTGCCCTAGCAATACAGGGGGGTGAATCATCTTCCTCTAGGGATCATTCTGGAAAAGTCCTGATAATAGAGTTGGGTGAGAGTGCAGAGGGTGGTAACAAGGAAAACTAAAATTATATTGTGAAGCAAAGCACTAATGCAGTAGTTGAAACTTGACAGATATCAGGCAGTGAGTATAAGAGAACAGGGAGTTTATACTTCTTGTGGATAGTGTAGGAGGAGAAATGATGAGGACAATATTGCCAAAGAGAAATTGCAGGGAAAGATAACACATAGGAAGGGACAAGCCAACAAGGAAAGAAGGTGGGGCAAGAATATGGCTAACAATTGTTTATTACTTATAATTGATCAATTATTGATACCAGGAAAAGTTCTCTGTGTTTCCATCTACTGTTGTACTCATATTCATACTTCATAGCATCCTTCTGAGATATGTACTTTCAATAGTCACATTTTACAGAGAGGAAACCGAGGCTTAGAGAGGTTAAGGAACACGTCCGCAGTCACACAGCTGGTAAGAATTAGAGTCAAGATGGGACTCAGGCAGTCTGCGTCCAGCATTTGTACTCATAACCACATAGAAATGAGAGAATTCATGGAAGAATTGTAAGAGGGGAAAAAACACGGCCCACAAGGGTTTGTCTTAGAGCCAAAGATGTCTTTGAAGCTGGCTATGGAACCAAATACAGGGGGGTAAGTCCATGGAAACATGCATATTGTAAAAATGATCAAAGATGTCAATCTGGCTTAGAGTCAGATAATGACTCAGCTCTTCTAGGGAGGGGGAATTAGTGGTCAAAAGGAAAATCTTGTAGATTGAGTATAACACAGAGGATATTTAAAATGACCTTGTGGTGTTTTTCTCCTTCCTTCCTTTCTTTGTTTTTTCCCCCTGGCCAGTACAGGGATTGAACCCTGGACCATGGTGTTATCAACATCACTCTCCAACTGGTGTTTTTAATACAACTATTTAGAAAACACGATTGTAATTCATCCAAAGTGTCTAAGTTGAGTTATTCCTAAGTACGACTCTTAAAAATAAAAACAGACAAACAAAATATGCAATTCAAGGATTTTAAAGAAATGTTGTTTATATTAGAAATATCTGAGTCCAGATGACTCCTATGACTCTTTAGGATTTATAAATAATTATTAAAGTCATACAACATCCTTTGTACCATTCTGGGTATTGTGGGACCTGTGGCAAGTAGAAAGCATAGTTTCTGCCCTAGACAGCATGTGTTCCCATCACCCTAGTACGTGGCAGGGCTATCTGCGACATAGCACTGTGTTCCCTTAACATGTGACTACTTATATGTGCAATGTACTGATGCCGTTTATCTGTGCAATAAAAAATACAAGTAATTCAGCTAAAATATAAGTGGAAAGAGCACTGAATTTAGAGCAAGAAGACCTAGGTTAAAAAAAACATAGCCTGGAGCAAGTCATGTAAACACTTTGAAGAAATTCTGACTTGGGGTTTTGGTCAGATTTAAAGAGATAATATGTAAGAGTTCTTTATAGCCTATAAAAACATACAAAGATTCCAGGCATTATTGTGATTGCAATTTACGGAAAATTATTTTTGCCTATTTTAGAGAAATTTTTCAGAAAATAATGTTGTTTCATTAAAACGTATCTATGCTTATGAGATGAAGCAATGAAATTGTTCTGTGGGATAGGATATTGAGATAGAATGGCTCTGTATCTAAAACCGGCATCATTTAAAAGAAAACTATTGATACTATATCCCTTGTGTACATAACCTATAAGAGGCCGAAAGGTAAGAACTCTCTCAAGTGCCTTCCCTCCACTGCTGTGCACGTGACCACATTCTGTCCACTCTTAACTCTTTCCTCTCACCTCAGTCTTTGAAGGCCCTTTTCTCCAATTCTCCCACCTCAGGAACTTGTCTGATCGATTATCCTCTCCCCCAGCATCTTTACCCTCAGTACCCAACATACTCAAGTGTCTTCCACTAAAAAAATTTTTATTTTATTTATTATTTATTTTAAAAGTTTTGTTTTGTTTTTATTAGTTATGAATATTCATGGAGTACAAAGCAAATTGTCACCACTTGTGCCTCAGATGTGATGGCCAGATCCATACTAGCAGCATGCCCATTACCATAAATTGTGATTATACCCCATGTCCCCCACCCAATTATCCTTTCAATTATCCCCGACCTCTCTCCTCATCCCGCTTCCCCCACTCCACTTTGTGTCCCTAGGCATGTTCTCTCCCTGTGCAAGTCCAATGCACCACTATGGTCTTTGTTTTCTTCTTTATCTCTTAGCTCCCACTTATGTGTGAGTACATACGGTATTTATCCCTCTGTGCTTTGCTTATTTCACTCAACATAAGTTTCTCCAAGCTCATCCACGTTGTTGCAAATGGGAAGATTTCATTTTTTTTTTTATGGCAGAGTAGTATTCCACAGTGTGTGTGTGTGTGTGTGTGTGTGTGTGTGTGTGTGTGTGTGTGTGTGTGTGTACACCACAGTATCCTTATCCAATCATCCACTGATGGATATTTAGGTTGGTTCCATATCTTGGCGACTGCGAACAGAGTTGTGATGAACGTGGGAGTGCAGGTATCCCTTCAACATGATTTCCATTCCTTTGGGTATATATTCAGAAGAGGGATTGCTGGATCATATGGTAGATCTATCTGTAGTTGTTTGAGAAACCTCCATACTGTTTTCCATAGTGGTTGTACTAATTTACAGTCCCACCAACAGTGCAGGAGTGTTCCCTTCTCTCCACGCCCTTGCCAGCATTTGTTATTCTCATTCTTTTCGATTATAGCCAATCTAACTGTGGTGAGGTGGTATCTCAATGTGGTTTTAATTTGCATTTCCCTGATGACTAGTGATGTTGAGCATTTTTTCATGTACCTCTTGGCCATTTGTATGTCTTCCTTTGAAAAATGTCTATTCAGTTCTTTTGCCCATTTTTTAATTGGGTTATTTGTTTTTTTACTGTGTAATTGCTTAAGTTCCTTGTATGTTATGGATACTAATCCCTTGTGAGATGTATAGTTGGCAAAAATTTTCTCCCACTCTGTAGGTTGTCATTTCACTCTGTTGATTGTTTCCTTTGCTGTGCAGAAGCTTTTTAGTTTGATATATTTTTTCTTTTGTTGCTTGTGCTTTCGGGCTCATGTTCATAAAATATGTGCCCAGACCTAGTTCCTGAAGTGTTTCACCAATAGTTTCTCTTAGTAATTTTACAGTTTCAGGTCTTATACGTAAGTCTTTAATCCATTTTGAGTTGATTTTAGTGTATGGTGAGAGGTGCATGTCTAGTTTCATTCTTCTACATATGGATATCCAAGTTTCTCAGCACCATTTATTGAAGAGGCAGTCTTTTCCCCAATGCATGTTTTTGTACCGTTTATCAAGTATCAGATGGCTGTAACCCTGAGGGGTGATTTTTGGGTTCTCTGTTCTGCTCCACTGGTCCGAGTGTCTATATTTATACCAGTACCATGCTGTTTTGGTTACTATAGCTTTGTATCAGTATAATTTGAAGTCGGGTAGTGTTATGCCTCTGCCTTTATGTTTTTTGTTCGGGATTGCTTTGGCTATTCAGGGTCTTTTGTTGTTCCATATGAAAGTTGAGATTGTTTTTTCCATTTCTATGAAGAATGTCATTGGTATTTTGATGGGGGATTGCACTGAATCTGTAGCTTGCTTTGGGTAGCATAGACATTTTTACAATGTTGATTCTTCCAATCCAAGAGCATGGAATGTCTTTCCATCATTTTGTGTCTTCTTTAATTTCTTTCAGTAGTGGTTTGTAGTTCATTGAACAGATCTTTCACCTCCTTTGTTAAATTGATTCCTAGGTATTTTATTTTTTTCGTGACTGTTATAAATGGACTTACTTTCTTGATTTCTCTTTCTGTTAGCTCATTATTGGAGAATATAAATGCGACGGGTTTGAGGCATTTATTTATTTATTTTATTTTATTTTTTTCCTTTTTGTCTTTTTTTCATGACCGGCAACGGATCACAACCCTCAGTGTTGCACCCGTACCGGACCGGGACCGGCAACGAGATTGCAACCCTCGGTGTTGCGCCCGCACCTCGCTCAGCCAGTGAGCCGCTGGTCTGTATGTGGGATCCGAACCCTCGGCAGGAGCGCCGCTGCGCTCCCAAGCGGCGCACTGTAGCAGTGCGCCACCAGGCCGGCCCTTGAGGCATTTATTTTGTATCCTGCAACATTACTGAAATTATTAACCAGCTCTAGGAGTTTTTTGATAGAGTCATTAGGATTTTCTATATATAGTATCATGTCATCAGCAAATAGGGACAGTTTGACTTTATCTTTTCCAATCTGGATGCCCTTTATTTCTTTCTCTTGCCTGATTGCTCTGGCTAGTACCTCCAGTACTATGTTAAATAGATGTGGTGAGAGTGGGCATCCATGTCTGGTTCCTGTTCTTAAGGGAAAAGGCTTCAGTTTTTCCCCATTCAGAATGATACTGGTGGTGGGCTTGTCATGGATGTATTTTATTAGGTCGAGATACTTTCCTTCATACCTAATCTGTTGAGAGTCTTTATCATGAAGAGATGTTGAATTTTGTCAAATGCTTTTCAGCATCTATTGAGATAATCATATGGTTTTTGTCCTTGAGTTTATTGATGTGATGAATCACAGTAATTGACTTTCATATGATGAACCATTCTTAAAAAGAGGCAAACTTTCCTTGACTTTTTATTACCCCCTTAACTAGAGTTTATTCTCTTTTCTTTCCTTCACAGCTAAGCACCTTGATAGATTCCTTTACACATATTCCATTCCCCTTTTTCACCTCCCACTCATCCTTAAACTCACCCACATCTTGAAACTGCTATGTGAGATTGTTCTGAGAAAGGCAGCCAATGACCATCTTGTCACTAAAACATGTGGACATTTTATATTTATCTTACTTGATTTCTCTGTGGAGTTCAAGGACAGAATGCATTTGAAGTACATTTGGGCATTTTAAATAGATGTGAAAAGGTATTTGCATTTGCAGATCTAGAACTAAGGAGAGAAGTCTGGATTCCTAAAATAGATTTGGGAGTCTTCAAGCAAAGCCATGGAATATAAGAAGAAAGAGGACAAAAAAAATCAACATTTCAAAGAGGAAGTCCTAAGGAATACCAACATTTCAGAGATCTGCAAAGGAAGCAAAATTCATGAAAAAACCTAAGGTGGGTATGGTGATTTTAAAATTGTCTTTGATACTCTTTGATTCTTTGATATGCTTCCTTTCAACAGACAGATCTTAATTCTTCTCTTTAACGTGGGCTGAACTTAGTGACTTGATTTTAAAGAATAGAAAGTGTCTTGAATGTTGCTAAATGACTTCTGAGGTTGTGTCATGAAAAAAAATAGTTCCTACCTTGCTTTCTCAGTCTCTGAATCTCTCATTCCGGTTAAAACCAGCCACCATGATGTGAGGATACTCAAGCAGCTGTGCAGAGAGGCCACGTGGAAAGGAAACAACTTGCCAGCAAGATGTGTTAGCCACCTTGAAAGCAGATCCTCCTGCCTCCATTAAGATTTTAGATGTTTCCAGGCCTCCAGTCTTCAGCAGTCCCTGCTGGGCCCTGTTTGAATATTTGTCCCACGGAAACCATGAAATAAATATTATCGTTTAAAACCACTACTTTGGGGGGTAATTTATTATGCAACAATAGATAATTAATACAGAGGAGCCAAAAAGGTGGGAGAGAAATTATGAGAGTTTGGTAAGATAATTTAAATTTACCAAAAAACCTTACTTGACCTATTGTTTTTTTGGGGGGTTATTTTTGTCTTTTTTCGTGTCCGGCAACGGATCGCAACCCTCAGTGTTGCGCCCGTACCGGACCGGGACCGGCAACGGGATCGCAACCCTCGGCGTCGCGCCTGCACCTCGCTCAGCCAGTGAGCGGGAACCGGTCTGTATGTGGGATCTGAACCCTCGGCGGGAGCGCCGTTGCGCTCTCAAGCGGCGCACTGTAGCAGTGCGCACCGGGCTGGCCCATGACCTATTGTTAATGACTGATGGATACCCAGTGATTCCCTGTATTTCTCTTTTTATTACATTTTTTTACAATTGAGATGTCATTACGTGCAATAACATGAACAGATGTTAAGTGTGGTTCAATAACTTTTGACAACTGTTTACACCTATATGACAACCACCCAACATATCCGTCATCTATTACTTCCATTACCCAGAAAGTCCCCTCCTGCTCCTTTCTAGTCAATTCTCTCATCCCAACTCCACAGTTTTTAAATTCTACTACTGTAGATCAGTTTTGCCTTTTCTTTTTAGATTTTTATATAAGCATAATGATGCAGTATGTATTATTTGTCTGATTTCTTTCATTCAGCACACTGTTAGTGAGCTTCATCCAACTTACTGCCTGTATTAATAGTTCACTCCTTTTCTTATTGACAAGTAGTATTCTACTGTATGAATATACTGTAATTTGTTTATCCATTCTTCTCCCTGTATTTCTTAATTAAAATAAATTTAGATATTTCTGCTTCATTATATGCAGCAGAAACATCAAAATTACATGTACATAATTACTTGTTGAAAAACTTGGTATTATAAATAGCATCTTGTAAATAGAAGAACCGTATGACGAAATGATTGATAGTTGTGACCTCTGTGGAGTCTCTATACAATGAGAAAGTTATAAGCTCTCTGTTGGCTATAAAATGTTCATTGTCTTCGTGACATTTAACTTGAAAATCAAACTGCCATGCAAAAATTATAAATGGGTCAATTCTTTAGAGAAAAAAAATTGAGCCAAAAGATACATTTAGAATTAGTGACATAGAAATAGAGAAAATAGAAAAAATATAGGAGACTTATTTGTACTACACACACAAACATGGATCAGCAATTTCCCTAGAATCATTTTAGGTGTGGAGGCAAGTAAGACACATGGAGACAATGATGCCACATATCACAAATGAGGTCCCAGTTATTCTCTGCACAGTATTTGGTACTTCTTTAAATCATATATAATTGAATGTTTAATTATATATTAAAGAGACTGACTTTCATGAAGTTACTACAACAAGCAAACGGAAAAGACATTCTTGGGGGGGAGGGGAGAGAGGGAGGAGGGAGGGAGGTGTCGGTGATGGGCCATAATAATCATATACAGTGTATATTGACAAAATAAAAATTTAAAAAAAAAAAAAAAAAGAGACTGAATACAAACCTTGGAATTGTAAAAATTTTTCTAGGAAAACTTTTTTTGTTCTTGGCAAACCGAAGATCATGTGTTCAGAAATACATTGGTTTAGAGACTATTTCTAGTTGGATTCCCTAAAGCCATTTTGTTAATGATACTCGTTTTAAAGAGTTATCTTCTTCCCCGTTCTGAACTTGGAAAGCATAAATACTTCAAAATAGTGTTAAATTTGAGATAGACTGCAAAGATAGAGATACTAAGCTTGATTTTGTTCCACCCGTCCCCACCCAGAGGATCAAAATAATCTCAAACCATCTATTAACGACTCTCCTGCAATTTCTAATTCACAATCTCTGTCAGTTTTGAGTTATGGGAGCAGCCAAGAGTATCTGAAAACACTGTTTCTACTTTGCCTTTTTTCTGGGTAATATAAATATCTGAAGAGATTATTGCTTAACCTATAAAACAGTGACATCATAAATTATGAATGCTAAAAAAGCCCAGTTCATTTTTGTTAAACTATACGATGAGCTGGAAATGGTGATTTTTCTCAGTGGAAAGACAAGGTGAAGAGAGAGTCTTCCTTGTATCGTTAACACCCATATCTGGTCCTGTTTTAGCCTTGATTAACACTAACCATTTGACAACAACTTTTCTCACCCTCTTCATTACTTCTACTTTCCCAAATCAATTAAGTGAAAACACCATTGTTATCGCTGTTATTTCATGGGATTGCCAAAGACCAGGCCCCTAAAACCCAGATTCAACCATATCATTGGAAATCTGAGCATGTGTGAGGTTCCCTATACCACCCTCTTCTTCCCCGGAAGCTGAAAATTGAAGTAGGCAGTTGCAATCAGACTAGAAGGATCACAATTTATCTGGGAGGTTGTTCACTGTTACTGGTTTCATTTGTAACTTGTCTCAGGTAGGCAATTAAAAGTAAGCCCCTATTATAAGATATATGTACAACTGTTTTACAACCTAAGCCATACTAGTTCTGAAACATAGAAGACAGACCTACAGAAATAGCCTACTATTTTGTTTGACTATTCTAACTTGCGTCTAATTAAAGATTTAAAGGAAAAGGCTAGGAATATTTCATTGCTAACTAAATGACACAGCCTAGCAGTTTGGTCAGCAAATAGAGACTGTATCTAGTTATAAATTAGTTAAAATAGGAATAATGGTCTCTATCGACTATCGTATACAGTATATTATGGTGATGAATCAAGATTGTTTTTCTTTGTTTTTATAGCAGTTTTAGTTTTGCAGAGAAACTGAGCAGAAAGTACAGAATCCCCAAACTCCCCCCCCTACATAGTTTCTCCTATTATTGACAGGTGACATTAGTGTGGGACATTTGTTACAATTGTGAATCAATATTAATATGTTATTATTAACTTAATATTACATTAGAGTTCCCTCTTTGCATCGTACAGTTGTATGGATTTTGCCAAATGCATAGTGTTATGTATTCACCACTATAGTATCACACAGAATGGTTCTGCTGCCTTAAAAATCCTCTGTGCTCCACCTATTCATTCCTCTCTCTCTCCCCCCAAAAACACTGGCAACCACTGATTTTTTTTTTGTTACCTCAAACATCACACAATTTATTGTATAGTTTCAACTGGCTAAAAGAGAGCATTTTGAATCTCTCCAACACAAAGAAATGATAAATGACCAAGATTTTGCAAGGGGAAATACTCGGATAGCCTTAGGTTCAAGGCAATAGTAATTCTGTAATAGACACAATACTACCCATGATAATTAAATTGTTTAAAATCACAAACAACTTAAACAGTCTACCCACTTGTTTGCCCATAGGCAATATACATACAGGAAGTAATTAATAAAACAGATAATCCACAAGAACATTGACTTTGGAGTTCACATCTGGTTCCCCTTAATGCCACTTCCTAACTAAGTGAGTGACTTCATAATCTGGTTTCTTAATATTTCTGATAATGTATTTCATCTTTAAAAATGGAAACTATTATAAAGTGGTTGTAAGAAGTAACAGTAAAATATGTAAAGCATTGAGCATGGTTTATTACAGGATACTCAATAATTAGAGACTATATTATTAATAACAAGAGATAGTTGATTCCAGGTAGTCAGTTGGCTTCCTACAGATGTTTACTATATTTACATAGGAAAACCATGCATTGTTCTGTTTTGTCATTTGGGTTATTCTCAGTCAGGCCCAAGTCAGGTGGGTACCTTGGTGTAACACCAGCTTTGATTAGTCTGTTCAAGCTAGAAATCCTAATGGTGGAATGCTCAGAGCTAATAATGACCTTGCCACAACCACTCTGTTCCTCTGTTGAGAACGAGCACAGCTTCTACCGTCTCTGAGTGGAACCGGGATGTGTGGTTTGATTATAATTTCTATGCCACTGAATTTGTCCCATGGGCCACATTTTTCTCACTGGTCCTGGAGTAAAGTATAAAGAAAACATTGAAGTTCATAAAATAAGCAAGGGTGCAAAATATACTTATTTCTTTAAAGGTTGCTTTGCTGGGACTTGGCAGTTTACAAAGAAAAGCTGATGACAATTCGTGTATAATTCTAAGCAAACAGAGCAGGATGTTAGACTTTCTTTAAATTAGCTGATAGCAAACAACCAAAGAGCTTTATATATCCTAACATCTCGGCAACGTCATCATTTATTTTTGAATACAGCTTTGTGGATGTTACAATGACCATACCAAAGGAGATATAAATACCCCAAAGTGATAGGATCATTTTTTAGCGGTTTCACTGAAATTTGCTCTGAGTGCCCCTGAATAGAGGTATGTGGGAACAAGAAGAATCAGTTTTATCGATTTTTTCTGTGACTTTGGACCAGGACAGGTCTATCTTGAATACAATATGCTTATATTCCAGCCCATTATAGATGCTTTAAAAATAATTCAAATGTTTACTGAGTAAGGTTGTTCATTTCTAAGATGGACAATCCCCTGGGCACTGTTGTGGAGATTAGTGAAGACTGGCTGGAGACTCCACACAAACTATTAACAGCTTTTTAAAACAAACACACGAGAGCGTTCCCAATTAGCCCAGCATCTCTATACAGTCATTTCGAAAGCAAATACCTCATTGGGAAAAATATCTTTGTTAGCTGGATTACAGAAGTTTTAAAAAAAGAGAGAGAGAGAGAAGAACCTATGTCTTTGTTGGAAAGTAAGAACAATTTAACTTCTGGAAGTGACTTCACAGCTTGGAACCCAGCAATGCCTATTTTGGATTAAACGGCCTATTAATGAAACTCAGACGATTTGAACATTCATCACCTTGCACCACGCCTCACAGAAAACAAGAACAAAGCCCCCAAATCCAGGGTTTTGCGTGAGGAAAGCAGAACCTCCCCACCCCCACCCCACGCGCGCCCCCGCCGCGGCCCACACAGCGCAGGACTCGGGAGC